CCCCTGTGGCTTCAGATTCTGCTACTATGCTGGATGGGTCCCAAGAGTATATATTCCAAATGTCAAGACATGAATGAATGATGCCAGGATCATAAAGCCCAGCCTAGACACTGGCAGAGCCACACATATGTCATAGTCTACTGATCAAAGCAATTACAGAGTCTACGCAGACTCAAGACGGGGAAGTAGACCCCCCCTCTTGAAAGAAGTGTCAAAGAAATTGGGGCCATTTTTAATCCACCATGCTATCTATAATTTTCAGAATTATACCTTCTTTTCCTATTTATTCAAATTATCTAAACTTGTTGGAATACAATCTTTCTTCTTTTTTAAAAAGCAAAATTTAATGTTTCCGTTTTCGTATTTTCCTTCAATCATGATTACTTTCTTAGAACCTATTGTACTTGATATTCCTGCATATATTTAAATATTCCATTAACTTATGATAGATTCTGAAACTGTTTTAGTATTTGAAGCTTTTCCCTATAGGATATTTATATGTTAAATAAGACAGATTAGAAAAAAAAGAAGTAGCTAACAAAAAGAACTGGAAATTATAGAAGGTAATGAATATATCATAATTGTAGCAGAACTTCAAAGATATTTTAATAGACAAAAGAGAGAAAATAAGAAAACCAAAGTCCCATAGTTTGCTAGTGTTTCACTTCCTGATGCACGACAGGTCATGCCTGGAGACACACAATGTCCCCTGACTCACCACTGGGTTTGTTGTCCTCCACGGTGTGATAATCAGGAGTGACCTGTCACTGCATGTCATCCTCCAGGACATTATCCATGCTTACAACAACTCTGCTTTCCACTACAAATCTCAATCAGCTTGCAGTATAGTGAGCAGTAGACAGGCTCCAGTGAGCAGAAAAGTGGCCACCGGGAAACACATACTCAAGGATAGCCACATTTCCTCCCTCTCCCAAGGGCTTCTCTGCTGTAGTGCCTGGTCTATGCACCTTGCAGTACAGTGAACAGCAACCAGATCCCAGTCAACAGGAAAGTGGCCATAGGGAACAACATGTTCAAAAGTAGCCACATTTCCTCCTTCTCCTACGGGGCTTTTGGCTCCCATACATGCTCTGAATCCTCTTGCCAGCTACGCCAATTGTAAAGCTAGGGCTGGGTTGGAGTTCACAGACATGTTGAGCCCATTGTCCAAACTGTGTCACAAAGCCTTCACATGCAGGTCTACGAGCTAGGTAACAGGAAAAAGGTCCTTGGAGCCATGGGTGAAGAAACAATAGGCTTTATTTTTAGGCATGAGCTCTCTGACCAGCAGTTCAGAGCCACTGCCTCACACACCAAAGAGCACACAAAAATAGCAACAAGCCAAAAGATACATGGGCATGCATGCACACTAACTCTACTCCCACACAACTTGTTTACAAAGAATGTGCTGCACCACACGCAGCCAGACCTGAGGCAAGGAGGCCTGACTAAACTACTCTATTTTCCTCACATATGCAGACTTCATGTTTGGAAGGACTAAGCTTGCTTTTCCAGTCCTAGTATATGTAGTTCATTCACTCATTTGTTCCATTATTAATTGATCAAATATTTACTGAACTACTCTGTGTGCAAGGCTCTCTTTTACACTATCAGGCTACAATAATGTATAAGACTAAGTTTGCTGCTCTAACAGATCATACATTCTACTCCAGAGACAGAACAACAGATACCTTTCCACTGTATTCAAAAATTAACAACATTGATCCCTGGGCATGTTTATCCTTTATCTCTCTACTTGAATTTGATTTTAAATAAGCTTTGACATTCTTGGATTAAGATCCATCTTCTTTCTTTCCACCATCAAGTCAATCCTGGTAAAAGTCACATATATCTGAAGGACATATTTTGTTTCTCATAAACTTTTCTAATACTTTTTAAATGTCTATTCTGTTTTCCAGGCACCAGTGACCCAAAGGTGCGTGATCAAATAAGATGTAGATTTAAGAAATGCACCCACAAAGTAAGATTTAAATTCAGTCATCATTACACACTAAAAGATGGAAGTTTCATGCATTACAATCTAAATTGTTTGTGTACATATTTAAAGATTACGATAGAAGCATAAATAAATCTCCAAGGAAATTTGTAGTCTCCTGATAATGTGTAAATATATATATGTATGTATACCTCATGAATCATTGACTGTAAAGTGATAAAGTGAAAAAAGTGAGAAAACTGCTGGCTGCTTATGGATTCAGAGAAAGGTACAATAAGAAATATTCGTAAATTGACTCAAACTAT